ACGTCAACATCCACTGCGCCGGAACCCTATTTGACTGCGCCACCAATTGGTTATCCGATGAGCAAAGAGGAGTCCCAGAATCCGGTTGCTTTCGAAACCAAGTCCAAAGGTGATGGATTCCGGAAGGGATGTTAAGTATTCAGTACCGTTTCTTCTACTCAAATAATCTTCTTTTTTTTCATATATAATGGAGTATTCGAATTTACAAGTAAATAGTGATCATCCAGTAACTCAAGTCAGCTTACTTTGAACTCAAGAATCCAATAATCGAGCTCTTAATTTTTTTTTGAGTTCGAGCCTTTTCGAGTTCGAGTCGAGTTTCAATATTATATTTCGAGTTCGAGTCGAGCTTGATAATTTTAAGCTCGCGAGTTTTCGAGTCGAGTCAAGCTGACTTTGAAAGTTTTCGAGTTCGAGTCGAGCTCAGCAATACTCGAGCTCGACTCGACTCGTTTACACCCCTAGGTAGGGTCTCCAATGTTTATGTTCGTTTATGTTCGTGTTCATTTATGTTTGTGTTCGTTTATGTTTTTGTTCGTTTATGTTCGTTTATTTATTAAATGAACGAACATGAACAAGTTATATTCCTTAATAACGAACATGAACAAAAAACATTTTGTTCATTTATGTTCGTGTTCGTTTATGTTCGTTTATTTATTAAATGAACAAACATGAACATACCTCCGTTCGTGTACGTTCGGTTCGTTTACAGGCCTAGTTTTACGTGCATGCTATGAAAGGAACCCTTTATGTACATATTTAAGCTTAAAGTGTATGCGTTTGGTACACTTTCTCAACCAAAGTGGAGTCATAATTCGACATGCTTCCATGGACCAATGTCACCACCATCATTTTGTTTCTATGATATAAATTGTTGCCTCTTCCTTCACTCAAATCATTTCATTAATAGTAAGAGATATGAGAATTTGTAGTTGTAGGTGCTTTAACCTCAGTCTGTAATGAATTTATCAATTTTTTTTATTTCTCATTTTCCTTTCCCTACAATAATTTTTTTTTTATAAATATGGTGTATATAAGATAATATCTATTCAAAGACTATCAGTCATTTGAGAATAGACGTTTATACTCCTAATATATGCAATTTTTAAACTCGATATGTAAAGTTTTTAATCACTTAGATCACTTGATTCGTAATGTTCAATTATACTAATAAATACATGTTTTATTTAAATATAAAATTACCAGAAAAATCGAATGAATATTTTAGTACAAGGAAATGTAACACATAAAACCAACCACAATGTTTTATTTACAAACTATATATTACATACTTATAAGTATTGTATTTGAAGAAGCAAATATTCCCACTTGGTTCTTATTTATAAATAGTATTATATAAAACGTCCCATTTCTCTCTAGGAGTGTAAACGAGCCGAGTCGAGCTTAAGTATTGTTGAGCTCGACTCGAACTCAAAAACTTTAAACGTAGGCTCGACTCGACTCGAAAGCTCGCAAGCTAAAAATTATGAAACTCGAAATATATTATTGAAACTCGACTTAAACTCGAAAAGGATCGAACTCAAAAAAAATTCAGGAGCTCGATTGAAGCTCGAGACTCAAGCTCGAACTCAAACTCGAATTTGAACCTACAAAAATCTTATATTACATTTAAAATATATAAATAATTTTCCCTTTAATCAACCATCACCAATACATTATAATATGAATGTATGAACTATAAAAAATCTAAAAAATAAAAATACAATTACAAGAAATTTAGGATAATTAATATAAGCTTTAAAGGTTTTAAAACTTCAAATGTATTGAAAGTTTACAAAATATGACAACACATCTAAATTTATAAAAAGATGACAAATATGACAACATATCCAAATTTATACAAGGCGACACTATTTTCCTTACAAAAGATAACAATATCATGATAGCTGCATGTTTACTTAAAAATAATACAAAAAATGATATCAACCAATTAAGCTTACTTACAAAAGATGGCAACAACATGTCAAGTTTACTTATAAAAGATTGCAACATGTCAAATTAAGTTCTCACTCACAGTAGTATGTACCTAGTGCTCTGATTATAGCTTTACTCACATGTTTTCTTATTATCACAAATTGTTTAGACTTAAAAATCTCAAAAGGGAAAAAATGAAAACAATTATGTTTCTTACTTCAAAAGATACTTGAAATCATGCTTTCGTAGAACACGCAAATCATCACAAAGAGCTTTGACCTGTCAAGACACTAGCAAAGTAAGTAACGACAAGTTTCAAGGTAGGTAAGACTAGAAATAGTGAAAAGATAATCACCTCTTCTGAGGTAGAACTGTGACCCTTAATAGAAAATGAAATTGGATCCTCAAAGGTTATGGTAGTAACCGAACCAAGGATTTCAAGAGGAGAATCAGACCAAATGAAGTTAGCAGCAGTATACACCTTCTTCGAGATTGTCTCCCCATCTTAATACCTGTGGTCGGCATGTAGTTAGAAACAAAGTAAACACTTGAAAATATTTACAAAAATATGAACAAAGTAGTTGCAATGTTGTATGATAAAGGGAAAACTTACCCATCACGATGTCTCTTTTGTTTACTTACCCTAAGTAAATCAATCACCTACATCAAGCATGTGCAGAAAGAAAAAAAAGATGAGAATAGACACAATCAATGGGGTAAAGGAGAGAGTTCGAAACATAAAATGAAATAAAAACCTTCTTTTATGGTTATATTAATCCCTAAAATAGATGCTTGAAGTCAAGAAGACGTGGATCAATCTTTGCAGGGGCTTTATACCTTAGCCCCAAAACATAAATCTCAGCTGATGTTGAACAACTAGCAGTAGGTTTATCAACTTCAACCTTCTCAAACAACTGCAAACAAAAAATGTGTCAAATTAAAAACATAACTTTACAGGGAGTCTATATGGTTATGTTTACTGTTTATCACATGTTTGAGACAATAGAGAACGGAACTGTAATCTTGAGACCCAAATATGAATCAAGTTCAGACTTCACACGTGGTATAGATGTTTCTCCACTAAAAATGTCTTGCAAAAGCTCATACAAACCACTAGATGTAACATCACCTCCATGAACATCCATAGATAAAATACTTGTTTTTGTTCTCCGATGATGCAAGGGGATGGGAAAAGCAGGAAGATAAAAGCAACCAAGAAACAATAATCGATCATCAGCTATCATCGAGAGAAAAACCAGAAAACACACATCAAAGGAAACGAAAGACACAAAACTAAAAAAAAACAGTGACCAACCAGGAAAAACTAGAAACTAAGAACCATCAGGAACAACCAAGCAACAAGGTCAAAAACAAGAAAAATCAACAGGAATAATCCATCAACAACCAAAGAACCCACCATTGAGCAAAACAAAAAACTTACTTTTCTAACCCATAACCTATCATCGCCTTCGCTAGGAACCACGATCTCATCAAGGGGAAGGTAAACTTTTCATCTTTTACGGTTTTCCAGTCGTGCATGTGGGATTCAAACTGTGGGTTCTAGGGATTTGAGGGGTTTTCTAGGTTAGTTGTTGGGGTTTGTGGGGAGAGGAGAGGTTCAGTAAGTTTGGGTTTCTTCCCTAGGCCAGTGAGGAAAGAGTGGTATGTGCGTTAAGACTCTTCATCGGAGCCCGTTGGGACGACGAAGGTCGCGGTGGTCGTGGTTTGGCAGGACTACGGGGTGGTGAAGCTGGGTGTTTACGAGGGTATTATGGGTTTAAGTTTAAGGATTTGGGGATGTTTTTTATGAAGGTTGTCATCGGAATCTGTTTAGGTGAAGTTTAAGCTCCACATCAGAGCACTAGGCGGCTGAAGCCACGGAGGTTGTGAGTCTCTGTTAGGGTTGAGCAAGGAAAAATGATAGAAGGTAGGGAGATGAGAGAGTGGCGGGTTGTGTCTTGTTGAGGAGATATGAGGATGATTTAGGTTAAGTTTCACCCTCATCTTCCTATATATTCCAGCGACCAAAATGACGTAGCTTTAAGTAGTACCAAAACAGCAGCGCTTCGAGGACTAGGGGGTAGCCCGTGTTTTAGAAATGCAGTATTAGCATTTTAGGACCTGTTATATTTGTAATCTTCTGATTTCGTCATTAATCAAGGTTTACGTTTTTATATTCGGGTTATTAATTTATTTTTATTTTATGTTTTGATCACCATTTGTTTTGATAATGGACCTATTAATTGATTTGACCAAGTGTGATTTATTAGTTTATTTACATATAATTTGTAATCTTTTGATTTCGTCATTAATCAAGGTTTACGTTTTTATATTCGGGTTATTAATTTATTTTTATTTTATGTTTTGATCACCATTTGTTTTGATAATGGACCTATTGATTGATTTGACCAAGTGTGATTTATTAGTTTATTTACATATAAACCCTTGTTAATTTCATTAATTTCATTTTGCATAATTTGTATGTTACCTTCATGTGCATAACTTAACCCCTATCACATAATCTGATTAAGGGTTTATGGTTTAGGGCTTAGGGTTTAAGATTTAGTGTTTAAGTTTAGGGTTTAGGGTCTAGGGTTTAGGGTGTAATCTAACATGTGCTTAATTAAATGGTCTTTTATTTTTCTTTTAGTAATATACAATGGTATTTTATTTTTCTTTTAGTAATATACAATGTAACAATTGGACTTGGGTTGATTAATTAAAAAATTAAAATTTGAGGGTAGTTGTATTATAGAATTTTTAATATATTTTTAAAATTTTATAATTATTAATAATGTATTTTTAATAAATTTTTTATAATGTAATATTAAAAATCTAAAATTATAATATAATATTTTTTCGAGTTGCTCACGAGCTTTTCGAGTCGAATATCGAGTAGCTCGTTTCGGCTCGTTACGAACTCGAGTCGAGCTCGAGTCGAGTCGAGTCGAGTCTATTTGATCCGAGTATTTATCGAGCCTTGTTCAAGTCGATCTCGAGTAGCTCGCGATCTGTCTCGTCTCATTTAGAATCCTATTTCTCTCTCTTACACAACTAAGGCATGGTGATGCATTATACATATACATAGAACGAACTCCGAAGGCAGCAAACATTTCATTTTCCCTGCTTGTCAAACCCAGTTTCAAGACGAAAAAGATTGATTCTTTCTTTCTTTCTTTCTTTCTTTCTTATATTGAAGATATATAGTACTAGTGATTTTTCTTCTCTTGAGTTTCGTCTATGGGTACTGCTCAATGGCACCAGGTAGAGAGATCTATCACCTCTTCTTCTCTTTATCAAACTTTTTTTTAGCTTTTTTCAAAGAAATACTTTTAGAGTCAATTGTATGTTTATTGGGTGCTTTTCTTTTGCAAAAGATGACAGTACTCTTAATTGTGCAAAAGAAAAGAAAAAGATGTTTTTTATCGTGTTTTTCATTGTTTTTGTAGGAGATTGTGGTGAAACCAATACAAGAAATGAACATATGTCCAAAACCAGGAGGTTTAGAGAGGAAAATACGGCCTCAAAAGGAACAAGCTTTCAACTGTCCAAGGTGCAACTCAACCAACACCAAATTCTGCTATTACAACAACTACAGTCTCACTCAACCTAGGTACTTTTGCAAGACTTGTAGAAGGTACTGGACTGAAGGTGGTTCCCTCAGAAACATTCCCGTTGGTGGTGGTTCAAGAAAGAACAAAAGATCTTCTTCTTCTCCTTTATCATTATGCGAAAAGCTTCCTGCTCTGCTAGCACCACCAAGTTTGTCTCAGTGCTCTACTCAAAACCCTAAGATCCATGATGGGCAATATCTCAACCTAGCTTTCGCAGCAGCAGCAGCTAGTCAAGGTTATAGGAGTAACTCTGAATTGGTTCCAAATAGCTTAGAAAACAATAATAAGAACCAGATTCCTACTTCTTCTTCTTCTTCCTCCCCTACTACATCTACATCGCAACTCTCGGCTTTGGAGTTGCTAACTGGAGTCTCTTCCAGGGGATTGAATTCTTTCATTCCCATGCCGGTTCCAGATCCGAATTCAGTTTATGCATCTGGTTTTCCCATGCAAGACTTTAAACCTACGCTAAATTTCTCCCTGGATGGGCTTGAAAGTGGCTATGGGGGTCTCTACGGGGTTGAAGAGACAACCGGAAGGCTTTTGTTTCCATTCGAAGATCTAAAGCAAGTCTCGAGCACTACTGATATCGAGCAACATAAAGAGCAAGGTGATTCAGCTGGTTATTGGGCTGGAATGTTAAGTGGAGGATCATGGTAAAGAAGATAAAAAATAATATGGGTCTTTTCTTTTCTTTCATTTTCTTGGGTTTTCTTTTTTTATAACTTTTTTGTTGATTTCTTAAAGTGGGTGACTTGTTTGGATTTCTTCATTACTAACAGAAGATATACATGGGTTTCCTTGATCTCTCTCTCTCTCTCTCTCTATATATATGATGATGATCCTCCTTTTTCTTAATTATTTATCTTGTTTACTATTCAATTATGGTGGGAATTTGAAGCTTTTTTTAGGTTGGCTTCACTAAAGGTGACACAAGGGCATACTATGTTAAGGTAGAAGAAGATATCTATGAAGCTAAGCCAAGTTGTTTTTAAGGTAAAAGTGTAGGAGAGAAGAGGCATTCATCCTCTTAGCCATTTTTATCCTGTATCAAAACCCAGCAGAAGGGCAACCCCTATTGCAAGTACAAATAACAATAAATAATTTTATAATTTTCAAGTTTGTAAGGGATTCGTGGTTGGAAAAGAAGAAAAAGACTATGATTTGTTCATAAAGTCTTCAGTTTCGATTTTAGTAAACTAATAGTTGCTTGGTGTTAATAATGTTGCTGCAATGGGATTTTAAATTCTCTCTCCCATCCCTTGTTTTCTACATACATTCGTATTCGAATATGAATTCATTCCAGAAAAACAAGTGTTTTCCAGGTAAGAAATCTGATACTTCCACATGCCATTGTAAATTTGCATTAAAGAATCCTTCACCTAAATAAAGCTACGAACTCAATGTTTTCTTGTGTTATATATATTCTGGAAAGCTATATATACGGACATGTGTGTATATATTTTAGACATATTTCCATGAGAGTGATGATTGTTTCAATGTCACAACCAGCAACTCTCTTTTTCTTTTCTCTTTTCTTCTGCAATTGAAAGATCTGGCAAAGATTCCTTTGTTTGGGTGTTGAAAAAGGACCCACAAACATTCCCGTCGATAAGTGTGATGAAGAATAATACACCGCCAGTCCCGCTAAGGTTTTGCAGGATCAATCCAGATCTCTACACTTGCCCTTTTTATTATTATTATTATTATTATAGTGTATGTTATATCGATTTTTTTGTTTGCTGTAATCCACTTTGAAGTGTGTATAATATCTGACAAATGGACGACTCTTCTGAGTAGTGTCTCTCATTCATGCCCAAATTAAACCACATCTTCTCTCTCTCTCTCTCTCTCTCTCTCTCTCTCTCATGTTAAATAGCCTCTTTATCAGTTTATCATTCATTTGTTGCGTTTAAACTTAACTACATTTTATACGATACAAAAACTAATACCTTTGTTAAATCTAAAAGTGGCTTCTGTTTTTCATTATTCTATATCATATGTTTGAGTTTTCAATGTTATAGCATTACATAATCTAAACTACATGAGTTAGCAGTTGTTTATGCTTCTAGCAAAGTCTCTTTCTAAGACATGTATAAATTTGCAGCTATATTTTCTTATTTCATCACCACATCATCTGTATGAAAAACTTTTTTCACCCTTTTTAATGTTTCAATCTTACTCACATTATCATCTAACAACATATAAAATATCCTATTTTTCTTCATGTCATACATCACAAACAATTTCAACTATTTTATCATATATCTTCATTTTAATGATTTTAATAACAAAAATTTTGGAGGCATGATAATTACAATTGCACAAATATCCTCTTAAGATAGATTTATAGTAGTGAAATCATTCTTTTCTTGAGGTCATATAATTTGCAGCTCTCGAGTTATTAAGATATACCTTTAAAAATATCTTTTTGCGTCCATCACTATAGATGTTTCAGCACAGAGATCAACTTAAATTCTATTAATTGGTTATTAAATTAGATTTTATTATAATTTTAGCGATAAAAGATCATTTGATGAATGAGTTTATTTAAGTAAGAATTCGTGTGGACTAAGGATACTTAATGATCATATTTGTTTTATTTATAAATATAAGGTGGGTCCTTAACCTTTTATATTAAAATGATATGAGAGAATCATTTTGATAATATTTTTTATGATTTTTGCCTGAGATTTATATTGTAAAAATAAATTTTGTGTGATGTTGAAAGAGGGTTTGCAACACAATGAATTATGAAATATATATATATATATCAGACTGTTAGAAACAAGAAATTACATATATTTATGTTCTCTTTTATGATGTCAACATTTATAATAATTTTTTTCCCTTATCTATAAAATTAAATAAAATCAAACAATAGTAAACTTCAATGGGAACCAAAACGATGAAGATGTAGAAGTATGCATAGAAGGACACGTTCTCCCATCAAAGGATTGTTTCAAGTACCTAGGGTCTATGATACATAAAGATGGGAGTGTAGATGACGACGTTACACACCGTATAAAGGCGGGATGGCTAAAGTGGAGGGCCGCTACTGGAGTTTTGTGTGACAAGAAGGTGCCTCTAAAACTTAAGGGAAAATTTTATAGAATGGCAATAAGACCAGCGCTGTTGTATGGATCAGAATGTTGGGCAACCAAGAAGGATCACGTAAGGAGGATAGAGGCCGCAGAAATGAGAATGCTTCGATGGACATGTGGTAGGACTCTGTGGGATATGACGACAAACTCTGCTATTAGGATGTCCTTGGGGGTGGTGTCTGTTTCCAAAAAATTGAGGGAGGGAAGACTACGGTGGTTTGGGCATGTCCTTAGGCGACTACCGTCGGATGCGGTCAGAAGGGTAGAGTCGATTACAGTCGACGGTGCCAGAAGGAAAGGACGACCAAGGAGGAAGTGGGAAGACTGCTTGAGATCTGATTTGATGGAGTTAGCCCTTACCGAAGACATGACCTCTCATAGGAAAATATGGAGGCTAAACTAGGGTAGTCGAGTAGTGTGGGTCACATCTATAGGGTGTATCATCTCTGTCTTCTTTTAATGCCTTTGTAGTAATTTCCATGACTTCTACTTTTTATACGTTTCTGTTATTGGTATTTATGAAGGATTGGAACTGGGCTTGATATCGTTGACGTTTGTTTATCATTCTCTTCATGTTTCCTCTTTTAAATTTAGCTGGGTCTTATGTTTCTGTCTATATGCAGAGATTCTTTCGCAGGGATTATTTTACAGGGATTAATTCCCATTACAAACGCACATATGATTTTAATGACTGCATATGAATACTGTTTAGCTATGTATTTATTTATACATGCATTGCATTTTATCTATACTTTTAATTTTCTGACTGTCGGAGGTCTTTCACGGAAGCTACTCCCAACCTGGCGTTGGGGGCAGCCTACTACCCTACCTCCCCCTTACCCCATACATATGGGAATTGGGTTTTGTTGTTGTTGTATCTCTAATGCGAATTTTATTCTATTTCACCTTTAATTATCTTTCCACTTTCTAAATTATACAAAAAGGATGAACCATGAAAGGTAAAAAGCATCAAAGATACAAGTAGTCCAAAGTACCAGGTACATTAGCCATTCTGTATTCTTGTTCAGGTTTATCGTTGGCACCGCTCTTACGTATATCTTTCTACAACTTTTACTTTTTGTTTTTGTTTCTTTTTCTTCCCTTTATCCCTACAAGAAAACATCTACTGTTCTTTTCCCTTAATCAACAAACGGACGGTGATTAAGGATTTATTATTACAACTCCTTATTACAACTCTGGGTTAGAGTTGATTCAAGGACGATATGATGATATTATCTTTACTGGCGGCGGGTTTGAGTTTCACCTATTTGAAGTTCCCTCGATCAGAGATTTCCTCTCCTTGTATGTAAATAAAACAGGCAAGGTTTACGAAGATTCCACAGCAGCCATTTTGCAAGGAAAATTAATGTAACGAGTTTCCATTTTATAGGGCAAAGAAACATTATAAATGTACACTCGTTCATTGAAATGAAAGCACTGCCACTCGATGAATGCAACTCTTATTGGTTTTGAAGAAAATGCGATGCGGTTATTGACAAAATGAGATAATTCCCGACCACCGGCGAGGGAGCACGGTGTGTCGGACGATGCCGGTGGGTAATCGATAGTTAGCATTTGAACTTGAAACAAATTTTCTAAGAATAAAAGATATGTCACATGTTGGTTCATCTAAACTCAGACAACTAGGAACAAATGAGTCTTTATCAAAGGCTAATGGTGGTGTTGCCAGCTCTATCCAAGCCTTCCATCAATCTTCTCTTTGCTGACTTGGTTCTGTAGCACCATATCTCGAATGCCTCACTCAAGTCGGGGTACTTAATCTGTTCAGTTTCCATCCAATCCGATAGAATATTGATTTGATCGTTAGATGGCAATGCTAGTGGTAATGAAAAGATTGCCCCCTCGATACTCTGGCACAAGTCTTCATCCATCTTGTAAGGGAAATTTGTATCCTTGTCTCCCTCAGCAGCTAGGAGAGGTTTAATCTTCCTTATGTAGCGTATCCATGTCTTCAGCAATTGGACCCAACACGGTGCAGGAAGAATCATGTTTCCGTAACCAACGGCTTCGAGCACTTTCCCAGTCACTTCTATAAGCTTCAGCTTCAAACCCCACATGGCATTGTCAAGTTTATTGTCTTCAATAATCCCCAAAACCTTACCAGACATCTCACCCCAACGACAAACAAAGTCCTTCATTAAATCCATCTTGGGGAGTATGTTACACATCCACTCGAGATCTTACAGGCTCTGCAAAATTCTATTCTCAACGGTCTCAGACGTGATATCCAAAACAACGTGCAACGAAGACATTTCATTTTCAAATGACGAACAAACTCAGGTAAGACCCGATTTTATCACCGATTTTACTTCATCATCAGCTGTAACTAACAAGGTTTCTTCATCTCCTCCAAGCATGAAATCCACTTGTTCTTGCACAGATGTCTTAAGCTCATCTCCAAAAGGTGGACAAGATCCACCGATTTATGTGGCAAAGCGAACTGCTGAAATAAACACATTTTTGGTGGCACTTAAATCTACTGGTTGGATCCTTGCAAGTATGGGCATGGCTACAGTTTTGAAACCTCTTTTATAACTTGTTCCTCTTCCTTATTGTCCCAAGGAACAGCCTCCAAGTACTGGAGGCAGCAGTTTGTAACGGCTTCACAACGAAATGCGACTGCCAAGTGTAGAATACCAAGAACAGATTGCACCGAGTCCAGGGAGTCCAAAAGTGAATCAGTGGGGAGATGAAATGATTTCAAAAGGTTAACATGATGAACATAAGTAGTATCCAAGCACTGAATCTCAATGCAGGAGCGAAAGTCGGTATTAGAGAGCTGATCCACAAAGAAACTGCTTTTACTTGGGAGAACCGATGAGTGGGAATAAAAACACTCAGGTCTTCCTTCATCATTTACCATAAAATAACATCACTTGTACTCTTGTCGCCAAAACTGCAACGCTTGGCTGCTGCAGTTAGGTCCATGTGCAGAGAGAGTGAATTTGATATTCAAGCTTTACAGAACACAGACCTGAAAGTAATCTTCAAACGAAAATTAAGGCAGAATCGATATGATTTCCGAAAGTATGAAAATAGATCGATCATTCCTCTGTCAAAATATGCTTTCTTGCACCAAACAATACACACTACTAGTATACAAAAGTGCACAAGCAACAATAATTAAAGAA